AAAATAATTTATGTATGAAAAAAATTAAAATATACCTTGAACTTTGATAGAAGAATCATATATACCCCAAAATCATTTTTAAAAAAAATTAGAAGTAATAAATATAAATTTAAAACTAATTTTTTAACATCCGTTAAATGAAGGGTATATGTGAGTCATTTTGTAACGGCAGGGGTATATGTGAGCCGTTTATATAACGGTAAGGGCATATATGAGTCAACTTTATAACGAGGGGTATATCAACTCTAAATGACAAAGTTGAGGGATATATCAAAACCCTTTTTAAAAAATGTATTATTTTAAAGAAATATTTCATATCATTTTTTTCATTTTTACGCCACCCCTACCCATCCTCCACCCCCCCCCCCAACCCAGGCTATTCCCGTTAATTTTATTTTTTGGCAAATATTTCAAATTTGAAAAAAATTCATTTTTTACGCCACCCACATCCCCTACCATCCGCCCACGCGCCACCCTCACCTTGACCACCCCTATTAATTTTTTTTTAAAAAAAAATTGATCTAGAAAAATATTTCAATTAATATTTTTTATGCTCCCCCTCGACCCCCGTCAATTTTTATTGTTTTTTAAAAGTTGTTGTTGAAAAAAATTAATCATGGGTAAGGCCTCATGGTCGGCTTTTGGAATGGTCATCAGGTTCTTTTCCTAGTTGAGGTTGGGTCCTAGATCAATTATCGATGTTAATTTTTAGATTAGAAATTATTTTTCTTAAGCGTTCTTTTTAGTCTCAAGCAAAAAATAAAAGATATTTTCTGAAAAATATTTTTCATTCACCAATCAAAAATTCAAAAATTATTTTCTACTCATCTACCAAACATAAGAAAATAAGTTAGAAATCCATTGATTTTCTAAGAAAATATTTTCTAGGAAAATGTGTTGCATAGAAAATGTTTTCTAGGAAACTATTTTGCATGGAAAATATTTGGAAAAATTGTATAAATAGCAAACTATTAACTCAAATTAAATCTTATAACTACAATCTGGTTTAATCGTAACTCGTAGCAAACAATTGTCATTTGCCTCCCTCACTGAATTTCTCGCTTGCCACTCTCGATTTCTCGCTGTCAGTCTCTCCCTCGCCTCTCTAATTTTATAAAAGTACAAATATATAAAGTGTGTTTGTGTTCAAGCGAGAGAAAACTGTATATAAACATATATCTTTTCGTTTGCCTCTCTCCCTAGAGAATCCTGCTCGCCACTCTCACTCGCCTTCTCACTCTATACAAACACAAATGTATAAATTGCGTTTGTGTTTGTATAAAAAGAGAGAAAATTGTATATATAAATACAAATACATATATTTTCAAATTATACACTTATAATAAAAAAATACAAATACATATCTTTCCCTACCCAATTTTCTTTTATCTTTCCCTCTTTCTCGCTTTATACAAACACAAATTATACAATTGATTCTTTTATATATGTATAACGAAATATACATATTAATAGCTATAACAAACATAAAGTTTGATATGGAGCACAATTATTCAATCCAAAGTGTAACTTGCTTAATATTAGTTAATTGATATACAAGAAATCCAACTCCTAATTTATTTCTTTAATCCATTAGCTTATAACACGAGTTAAATGAATAACAGTGACATAATTAGTGACTGAGCTAGAAATTTTAATAAGATAATTCGGAAAAAAATTCCAACAATGCCACAATCTAAAGAAATTTCTGAGCTACATTTGCTGTCATACTAGAAACTTTCCTTATTAAACATATAAAAAGTTTTTTCAATTTTTTTTTTGCATAATATTGGATTGTGTAGATAATATTTAAGTTGATCGAGATCGAAAAAATCAACCGATAATGTAACGTATATAAAGGCATATACATGATGTTTATTGACCTTGGCTTCCTTTGTCACATATCACTACTTAATTTCCTTCTTCAAAGCTAATTACAATTCAATAATAGCTTTTTTTTTCTTCTAGTTGAATATTGAATTAGAATTGATTTTTCTATTGTAATTAAGTCCGATTGAAATTGTATTACATATATTATTTAGGGCAACTTTTACATATAGCAAACATAAATTTTTTACTTTTATGCTATAACAAAGTTTGTATAATTGCTCTCCATAGCAAACATATATACGCATAATTCGCTATACATATACAATTGAA